CTTTTTAAACACATGAAAATAGATAAAGATGTTAATTACATGCAATTGATTAATATTCATTAACCAACTGGGTGGCCCAGAAAATCTTATTAAAGCCCAACTTGGTTATATATATGGATCAGATCTCTATGAAGGATATTAGGTGGCCCAGTATATTTATCAGGCCCAATTGGTTGTACATAAGAACATGCAAGTGAGAATGTGGAAAAGAACGACACGTAGGCGAATTCAACCCAGCTAAAGATTGTTGCACCGTTTATATTGTCGCCGTTGTTGATCTATCTAAGCTCCCTTCTCATTTTCTTCAATTCAAGCTGTCCGGCACTTTCTTTGGTTTCTTCTTCTTCAGTAAGCTGCTGCAGGAATACGATGGCAATGGCGGTAAAAGCGCCAGTAACAGGATTAAGCGTGGGTTCCCACCCAGCTGGCCCATCGGGCTCGTCGGGCAATAGAGGGGTCATTATTGTCAGAGCACATCCTTTCAGATCATCGTTGTTTGGTCGTGGAGGTAATTGGTGTTATGGATTGGTGTTGCTGTGTTATCTTCTACTTCTGTCGGTTAATGACGCTGTTGATGCGCATCCTCGTATTTGGGTCTCAAGAAAAAGTGGGCTCTCTTGTCGATTTCTTTTTAAATAATTTGGTGATTGGAGAATTGATCATTTGCAATTTTCTACCTAAAGTGCTTCCAGTGTTTTTTTTTTTTTTTGGATTTCAATTATGTGTTGGTATAATAAGGCTAGATTTCGCTCTTTGGAGATCGCGTCATTGCTTATAGCTTCCTATCCAGGGACGGGTATCTGCTTACCACTGTACTAAGTCTTTGTCGATCTAGTAAAGCCTCTTTCCGCAGATAGTGTTTTAACTTGGTCAATTTATTTTTATTTATTTTTTTGAGTTTCTTTTGGGGGACTATCCATATAGCTCGAAAGGTATGAGAACGTCCGCCAGAGTAATTTGAATGGTTTAAGGTTTGTTTATGTAGCCAACAGTTAGAATTCAATAAGGATGGACTTTATGCTAACACCTGGAGGACTTTGAGTGTGTTCACTGCTTTGTAGCGTATTTGCTTGATTATATTTCTTGATTCTTCATAACTGACCCAATATAACTTAATTGTTGGTTCATTTGGTTATTTTTTGTGACCTATGTATCTTGTTCTTTTGCCTGGGCAGTTGTTTAGAGAACTCTTTGTTTGGATGATGAAATCTTCTTTGCTTTCTGTTTCCTCTTTTTGTTGTTTTCATGGTTTATGTTGTCATTATTTTATTTTACTATTTTCTCTCTGCAGTTGGTTCAGCTCCAAAATTTGCTGGACTTCAACTTTCTTGTTCTACTGGATCCCGAAGGAATGGTCGTGGAAGGGGTGGTGCTCTTGGTGCTCAAATGAGTCTTTTTGATCGGTTTGCGAGAGTTGTTAAGGTCATTTGGCATTTTTGAGATCACCATTGGCTCTATTGATAAGCCATGAAATTCTATTGACTGTGATTTATCTCGGTTAAGTGTAGTCATATGCAAATTCGGTATTAAGCTTCTTTGAAGACCCAGAAAAAATATTGGAACAGTCTGTAATTGAAATGAATTTCGATTTGGTCAAGATGCGTCAAGCTACAGCACAGGTGTGCCTTTCCTGGATTTATTTTCTTCTACATTTCTCTTTCTTTTACTCAATTTTAATAATCATGAAGAGCTAATGACCTTCTAAACCGTGACATTTGACTCAGAGAGCCGGGTGCTGATGCAATTTCCCTGTGCTTTAAAGTTATTATGGATAGCCAGATTGGGGAAATCAAGTTTGTTCTCAATATGTGTTTTGTAGGTATTGGCTTCCCGGAAGCAACTGGAGAACAAATATAAGGCTGCTCAGCAAGCTTCTGAAGATTGGTAAGTGCCACGAAACCTATCATTTAGTGGTCTTATTTCGTGCTGTTTGCTCTAGTTCTAGTGCAGGTATAGAAGAGCTCAACTTGCTTTAGGGAAGGGTGACGAAGACCTTGCTCGTGAAGCTCTCAAGCGTAGAAAATCTTTTGCTGTAAGTACTTATAGTTTTTCTAAAAAATAAAATTATGAGATACTTCCTCTCGAGCTTCGTAACTGGTGGTAATTAGGAGACAGCTTGTAAAAGATGGTTGTATTGTGTTGTGTTGCATTTCCATGAATTTGCATCGAACTGGATGTACTATCTTATTACTAGAGTGACGAAGTTAATTCCACACTAGATGGATGTTCTTTGAAGCAGTTTACTGCATCTTCAGTTTCTGAAGCTTGTATTCCAGTGAGGTTTAGTCAAGTTCTATGGAGAAAATAACCCTTATTATCTGATATGTTTTATCATGTTTCACATTATTTATACCATTGTTTAACTTATATATGCTAGGAGAAGGGAAGAGGGGAAGGAGAAGGAAGAAAACCTGAATGTTCTGCCTGTCCATTATATTGCCAGGAGAACTGTTTGATTTTATAAGTTGACATATCTTCTGTATACAATGTTTCGGTACTAAGTTGATACCTTAGTATTTTCACTCTTATAGTGGTCGAGAGATTTTAATCAGATGATGGAATCATGGACTTCTGTTAATACATATAAATGATGGCTGTTAGATATAGATGAATATTTGCAGTCGCCTTTATATCTGACAGTGGACTTTCTTTTCTTGAACTTCTGTTCATTTAAATATAGTTTCTTCAAACTACCTCTAGTAACTTTTTTGTTTGTCGCTACATGTTACATTTTTATAGGATAATGCAAATGCTTTGAAGACTCAGCTTGATCAGCAGAAAGCTATAGTTGACAACCTTGTCTCGAATACAAGGGTGAGCATGTGTACAATTATGCTATTATATTTAGTATTTATGTAATTGGGATAGAATTATGATGCACTTGCTCAGTAGGGCTTAAATCTACTTGCGGCTGGATGAATGTAGTTATAGTTTTTTAGCACTGCATATTTTCAGATACTATCCAATAAATTGAAGGGTCCTATAGCGATCATTGTATCAATAGCAATTAGCCTGGTGTTTGTTTATTTTTTCAAAGTCTTGCATGCCATTTTCTTCTACTATTTTGATAATAGATCTATTGGAAACTCGCCACTTAGACCTATATTATTATATGTTTATTTAATCTTTGGTTATCTTGGTTGGCAGTTGTTGGAGAGCAAAATACAGGAAGCTAAGTCTAAGACGGATACTTTAAAAGCAAGAGCTCAAACTGCAAAGTTTGTCCCAGACTTTGTTTCTATCTTTTCTTCTGATTTCCCCTAATCAGTTTATTTGAATTAGCTTATCTGGTTATCTTTTCTTTAGGACTGCAACAAAGGTGAGTGAGATGCTGGGGAATGTAAACACGAGTAGTGCTCTGTCCGCTTTCGAGAAGATGGAAGAAAAAGGTAAGTTGTACCGCATCATGCTCTTGATGCATGACAAGCTTCAAACTTCTTACTATATTTGTTGTACAGGCATCCTGTATTATAGTCAGGTGTTCATATTATCATATTCCTTATGGCATTAATGATTGTATCTTTGTAGCAAAATACAGTAATTTCCCCTCAGACACAGCCCTAAAGGTTGCTGTTCACAATTTCACTAAATGGGAGGAGTTAATAATCAATTCCGATTACTCTTGTTACATCATTCATGAGTGGCTGAGTGCTCTGGCTGTGAGTTATGCTATTCATGAATGACTGATATTTTAGCTTAGCTCTATAGTTGCTTTAGGAAGGGCAAATAATACCACTCATCAACAATGAAATGAATTAATAAATGTGAGTTATGGCTTGCCTGGGGTCTGTTATTAAAGATGACATTAACTTTGGAATTTGGTTTCTTGTATGTTCATATGGTTCGACTATTCAAGGAGCTTGCTTCATTTCCTACTATTGGCTCTAGCAGAACGTGTTACTAATTAGCAGTACAAAAGCTGCACCCTGATTGTTTTGATGGGTCGATGAATGAGTAATTTCTCTAACTATTTTCGCAGAGTGTCTCAGGGCATTATGCATTTTTTTTTTTTATTTTATTTTTTTTTTTTTTTTGTTTTTTTTTTTGTGAATGGCATTATGGTGTTTAATTGTTGTTTTTTGTATCGAACTTGCTTTGTATCACCTATGCATCTCTGAGCCTTGATAATGCAGTTTTTTGTTGTTTTTCCTCATCTGAGTCCTTGATGGACTATGAACAATGTATATTAGAGCCCAAGTTGCCTAATGACATGTAATTTTCTTGTATCTTGTCAAACAGTTTTGGCTATGGAATCTGAGGCTGATGCGCTTAATCAGTTGACCAATGATGAACTCGAGGGAAAGGTATCCGAATGTACTCTAATCACATAAACTATTCAACTCTTTTAGTTTGTCTTTGGGTGCATTGATAATTTATAGTTGCTGATCTGATTATTGGCATCTATGTAACTTAAGAAAGTGAGAGAGATTGTTGTACCAGCAATCTTCTGCTTAGCTCCTTTTTGATGATACTTAAACGAATATGCACAGAGTTCACTTCACTCACAGCCGACCCATCAAGATCCTCCCTTTCGGCCATTTGTTATCTGCTTGTACTGTTAATAACTTCTTAAAAAAAAAATTGCTTTATTGGCGCACTACTGGTGCTGGTGAAATCTGCTGGCTGGAAGCTTTTATGTTTTGTACCAAGCCCCTATAGAAAAAATATTAAATATATCGCATTCAGAACCGATTATTGACCCTATTATTGTAATATGACTCAGTGAGATTACTTGCATATCCTATAATAGCTTATCAACTCATTTTTCGTAGTTTTGTTATAGCTCTTTATTTTTCAATTATTTCTGGTTGAATTATTTCTCTATATTTTTTAATTATTTCTGGTTGAATTCATGCCTTCATGGGACGAGCAGCAAAATGCGAGTGTGATAACTGATAACTGACCTAACAGTGATATTTCCTTGTATTCAACTAGTTTACAAGATAAGACTGATCTGGTTTCTCCTGTTTGTAGTTTGCATTGCTAGAAAGTTCTTCAGTTGATGATGACCTCGACAGCTTGAAAAAACAGATCTCCGGAAACACAAAGGTACTCTTGAAGTTATCTTGTTCTCATGCTCTTCTTCTTTTCGTTTTTTTTTTTTTTTTNTACGAACAGCCGAAATCCTCGAATTCAACTATTAACAGACATGCCTTGTTCTTTTTTCTTTTCCTTTTGTGGTGATCCAGAAAGCAGAGCTTCAGCTTCCAGCAGGAAGAGCACCAGTTACAAGCTTGAAGTTTCAAGATGCTGAAATCGAGCATGAATTGAACGAATTAAGGCAAAAGGCCAAGGAATATTGAGCATGAGTCTTTGATATATTATTGGGTATAGTCACTGGGTGATTATTGAGTCATGTTTATACCATTTATGGTGCGCTCAATTTGGCCAACTTTGTACATAAACTATAGGCTTTCCAAAATTTTCTACACTTTTGGAATTTTTTGGACTCTTTTTGTTATAGTACCTCTAAGCCCTAGTATACGATTTCAATGCAAGTGTGAGTGCTCGCATTTTGCTGCCATTATCATTCTTCAAGAGCCTAACGAAATGAAAATGCAACTCCAATTAATTGTTATTTTTTCACAGCAGATGTAATGCTCATATAAATTATTTTGTTAATAAAAAGTAAATATAAATGTGTTGAGGATCTATGATTTCGGGTTAGTTATGAGTCTCTATTATTGGTTCATGGGGTTCAGATATGGACATTAATAGCTGCCTGAATATCAGACCTATTATCATCCCTAAATGATCACACACATTCTGAAGTCATCCATCATTTATGTTTGTGTTAATACTAATTATCTGAACTAAAAACCTACATTTCTTATCTCACTCTCGAGACTAGCAAACTAAATGAGACACCAACCGGCAAAAAACTATGAATCAAAAACTGTTTTTTGGTGCAAAATCATATAACGAGGAAACGGAAATGAAACTTCAACCAAATGGAAGAACTTGAAAACTTCTTTCCTTAATAATGAGATTAGAAAGAAATTCACATCGAAGACATAGTAAATCACGGTCAATTTTAACTTAAGACCAACGAGAAAACAAATTACCAGAGGCTCATATGCTGTTCAAAATTACTAACTATAAATAAGAAGAGAAAACAAATTACCAGAGGCTCATATGCTGTTCAAAATTACTAACTATAAATAAAAAAAATCCCGCATCCTGACAATCATGTAGCAATCACCCTCCTACCATACGTTTCCTTTCAACGGCATCTGAGTTTATGGTTGAATCACAAAAAGAGGCTGTGCAAAGAAAGGGATTGATAAGAACAACATGAAAGGAGAAATTTGTGACTTAATAATGACTGAGGACACAAGATAACTTACGGTGCCAACAGTGACAGGCTTCCCATCTTCTACTAGGATCTCAACTAATGTACCAGATTGATCAGCCTGCAATTTAAGTATTATTTCAGTAACAGTCAGAAATAAGCAGATTATATGCTAAACCAATATATTTATCTGTTGGTGCTCGACTGTAACTTGTGTTGACAGGTCAGATGCACTGCTACTTATTAAACGTGGTAAATAAAATGTAGTGCTTACTTCAATATCATTCATCAATTTCATGGCCTCGATGATGCAGAGGACCTGTCCCTTCTTAACGGTATCCCCAATCTGCAATAAAATGTATTTAGAGAGAGAGAGAGAGAGAGAGAGAGATGGATGATTGTACTAGTTTATTCATACATTAGAGCATATGTTTATCTTAGCTCTCTTTCAAAATCAATATTCCCTTCATATTCGTTTGTCTTTTAAGAAATTGCAATTTTAAGGGAGGTATTTGTAGTTTTGAAGTATAACTGCTTTTTTTCTCGTCATTAGATACAAAACCAAGGTTGTGTTCGTGACTACTCCTTGAAGTATGAAAGAAACATTTAGTTAAAGAAATTTTGTAATTAAGAACTGACAAGTCAATGTCTACAGCCTGGACTAAAATACAAACGAGTTTGTGTTGTGAGACATAAAATTCATGTCATTACCTTGACAAATGGCGGTTCACCAGGTGCTGGACTGCGGTAGAAGGATCCTGCCATGGGGCATTTAAAAGGTGGACAAGATGACTTGAGTGCTTGAGGTGCAAGTGCTGGTGTTGGTTTAGGAGAAGGAGCTGCAGTTGGAACTGTAGACACTGTAGGGACTGGGACTGGAGGCGTAATCACAGTCTGAGTCTTAGGCTGTGCCTGAACGTATTGAACAGGTGGCGGTGGCAAGGCCTCCTTTTTACGTATTAAGATTTCACAATCAAGTTGTTTCAGTTGCAGTTCCACAATGTCCTTAGAATCAACCATTCTGCATTATGGGAAATGATATAATCAGTTGAAATGGGGAAAGAGGTTTGACCTAATAATCGAAAAGGCCGAAATTATCTTTTACTATAACAAATACCCTCTTAATGCCTCACAAACATCTACTTGAGTTTTTCATTATTCTAACTAGTGCAATCCTTCATAGCATGGATTTTTAAGGATTCAACTAAACCTCAAATGTTTTCGTAATCAGCTCTAGGACAATGTTAGCATGCGTACTTGACAAGGCTGGCAACTTGATTCATAAATTCTGAGAGTGATTCTTCTGATGCCAAAGCTGGCTCATTTGACAGCTTGGCTTCCGAAAGAGTTCCCTCTGCTTGTACAGCATTTTCCGGCGACCCATCTACAGCAACCTTAAATGCAACAGATGGCTCCAAAAGCTTTTCCACAAAGGAATGAAAATTCCAAAATAGTTGTTTGATCGAAAGTGACGAGTAAAAAGGTACCTCATTCAGCTGAGCTCTTACCACGGCAGAAGAGTTCCGGCCAGGCTGAACGGTCTACAAAAATGAGAATGAATCCAATGAAGAAAAACACATCAAACCTTAGCAAATTCTATCGGAAAACAAATCAAACATCATATTTATCTCTTGATTTCATCTTCATCAAAAATCAGAGGCATTATAAACAGGGAAATTGAGATCCATCTAACAAAACACTGGCTAACCACATGCTAAAATCGAAAGCAGATAAAATAGAGATATGCCATCAATGTGTAACGAAAACGAGACATCAAATTACTTATTCATTCATTCATAATCGCCAAATCGGAAAGATTTTGGAAAGTGTACCTTGGAGTAGATGCGGAGGCCGGGCCTGGTGGATAGGCGGAGGGTCACCTTGTTCGAATGGGAGGTATGAGGTAAATGCCGGCGGCGAATCGGCAAATAAGCGTTGGTATTCTCGGCCGCCACCAACGCGGTCGCAGCTCCAAACGCCGCTGCCATTGCGAAAAATGAGGAGGTAAAAAGAGAAAGTCTCAGGGTTTGGTTGTGAAGATCGGAGCAAATGAAATAGCAGCGGCGATGAAAACGAGATAAAACGGTGTGTCTGCTTTGCTGTTGGTCGACTGGCTGGCAGTTGGGAGTTTGGATTTGACACGTGTCTAAAATAGTTATCAAATACTCCCTCCATTTTGAAATATAAGGCATTTAAGGTTATTGCACAAGTATTAAGAAAACATTAATTAATGAATAAATTGACTAAATTAACCTTATTTACTCTAATCACAACCACTCCACACTTCCTTAATTTCAACACAATGAGGGTATATTTGGAAAAAAATACAAAAAATTGTCTTGATTTTTGAGCGCGCCTTATATTTCAAAAAAAATGAGAAATCTTTATACGCCTTATATTTCAAAATGGAGGGAGTATATATCTATATATATATATATATATACCCCTTAACGTGCTGAGCCTATGTGGCAGTACAGATGTTAAATGGGCTAGCCCTGGCGGTTTCGGGCTAAACGGGCTATGCGGACTATGGCTATAATAATAATAATAATAATAATATATAAAAAAATAAAAAATAAAAAGAGTAAAAATTATAAAAAAAAAATAACAACGGCTAGTTAAAAATTATTTTCAACGGCAATTTAGTAATTACCGTCTATCACTATGTTTCATATCTTTCTTATTAGTGGTTATGATTGGCTTAAATATTTTGGTATGAAGTACAATAACAATATTGTTAATAATTATCTTTCAAAATCATAATAATGCATTACAAATCGCACTTACATGTGAATTGGAATATCAAAATTGTAATATACAAGAAATCTAAGAGCATATTACTTACTTGATGCAAACATTTACACCGCCCAACCCTAGTTAAACGGGCCAGCCCTAGCGGATTTCGGGCTAGCCCTAGCGGGCTTCGGGCTAAACGGTTCGGGCCTAAAAAGCCCTGATTTAAACGGGCTACTAATAAAAGGACCTAACCCTCTTTTTTTTCGGGCTAAACGGGCTGGCCCGTCGGGCCAAAGACCATTTAAAATCTCTATGTGGCAGGCTCGCATGCTTCGGGATCCTATGTGGCAAAAGTACGTAATTAGATTTGGGTAGATTTAGTTTACTTCTAATCCAAATATATTTAGGTTCGGATTATCTATAATATGTTGATTATTTATGGTAAGGGTGGCGCCGACCGGGACGGTCCTGGATTTAACTTGTCCGGATACCCATCCCACTATTATGAATCCGTCCATGAACGGTCCGGGATGAGGCACCGTCGCCACCCAATATATATATATAAAGATGTTGTTGGAAAAATACATTAATAGAAAGCTTGACCAAATAAATATAATGTTTGACTTACTATTAATAGAAAGTTCAAAAAAATACATGTGAATCTTTATTAACAAAATCTGAATCCTAATTTTTTGGTAACTAATTTGGAGATTCTTATGGCAAACTTTGAATCCCATTTTTTCCGTATCATATTTTATTTTTTTTACCAAAGTTTAAATCATAAAATTTTTTGGTAACAAATTTGGAGATTCTTATGCAAAAAATATGTGAATTATCTATGAAAACAATTCTAAATGAAAATTAACTTAAAAACCGTACAATTTGGATACAAATTTAGGAAACAAATAGTTGTATAATTCTTAATCAATTCTTCCAATCTTATTGAATAATTTTTTCTTTCAAAAAAAATTGTATAAATTGGATAAAACCATGTGCAATTTTTATTTTATAATAAAATTGATATTTGAACGGGATGTACATTCAAAATTGTGTCCACATTTGTTGGTAACAAAAGTGGTTCATCTTTTATATTTAAAGTCACCTTATCAAATTATTTAGGAAAAATTATGTGCAACTTTTCAAAATTTAAATGCATCGATTTTTTTCGATTCTTAAGTTTTTTCTTAACCATGTTTTACCGAGATTTTAGTAAGTTAATATCATTTTTTTTGTTAAGTTCATATCATTTTGTTTAGGAAAGAGACAGTTGCATAAATATTAACAAATTGTTTCAATTTTTTATTCAAATTATTTTCAATTCAATTTGTTTGGTAAAAATCGGTGCAGTGTTAGGAAAATTCGGTTGCAATTTTAGGAAAAAATGATGATTTTTTTTTTATTTGGTTTAAAAAATATTCAGATCAATTTGTTTGATAAAAAATCGATTTATTGGTAGGAAAATCGGTTTCATTTTCAGGAATAATTAATGTTTCTTTTTAATTTTACTTAATTGAAATATAGAATTAGATTTAAAATAAATAATAGGTGAAAATCCCTAAAAATTTCTACTTTTTTTCTACTATAATTAGCTTAATTAATAAGATCCTTTATTTTTTTAAAAAAAAATTGTTAACTAATAACTAATAATATACAATTTTAGATAAAATTCGAACACCTATGTAGTATTTTACGTGTCAATGAATCAAATCAATAATGTTGTATATAAATTTTATTTTCATGATATTTTTAATGTCATGAGACTATTTAAATACAAAAATACATTTTAAAAACAAATAGGTAATAAATGTTCTCGTATATCGCACGGGTACCGTATTAGTGAAGGGTAAATAAATAGTTTAAAATGAATTGAATATTATTATTAGGCATATTTATTTGCTTATGTAAATTGCACGGCGTTATGTATATACATTAATGTAAATATATATTTATACTATGCAATATTATATTTTATTTATAATATTTGAAGGTATAAAATTTCAGTTAAAAAGTATAGTCAACCTAATTATTGGGTTTGTCTAGTAATAAGAGTCCTAGTATACTTATATTTGCTCAAACACATTATTATGTGAAATTGATATTGATGTGCATGTTCCTTTTTAACCGGACTCAATTGTCTAAGGAACAACGGCAAAACTTGGTCATCGTCGACCTCAGGAGTTTTGAGTTAAACGATGATCTTTGTACTTTTTTTTTTAGAAATTGTTGCATATGCATTCAATTAAATCAAACTTGGAATGAGTCTCTATTTACACATAGCATTTTTCGTAGACCATAATCCAATTATCCAATTATGTAAGAGTTAATTACCTCCCCCCCTCTTTTGCTTATCTACCAAATCGTATTTTCTTTTTTGTTATCGAGCACCTTCATGTCTCTCGGAATAAACATCAGGAAAACCTTTAATCGATTCGCATTCTTGATCCATGAGTTTAAACCTCCCCTTTTTTTTCGAAACTATTAGAAAATATTATATATCAAAATGCACAATGTACAAATAAGAATAATACAACCAACAGTTGAAAAATTAGTTGGATAAGTCAGAAAACCGCCTAGAACTAGCAAAGCTAGAAACTAAAAGACCAGCCTCAAGACACAAACGACACCACAAACAAAAAACACAACAAAACACAAATAAAGCTCTCCACGGGAAAATAGGAACGATCTCCAAGGGATAATACCCGCACACAGTCGGGCTCACAGAGGCCAACGGCCCAAACCAAAAAAACAAGACCAAAAAACATCACCAACATAGACTCAAGACAAGCGAAAACTAAAAAACTATAAATTGATAGATTAGGCCCTACCCAGCCAACCAAACGAGCCAAAGTCAGCAGAAAAACAATCGACCCAAGAAGATCCCAAGTCCGAGGAACCGCTACCAAAACTTCGGAACTGCCTATACAGAAGTCGAACCCGAGCCCCGAACCCATCTCAAATCGACCCGCCTCCAACCGAGAGATCAACGAACGAGCTCCCCACACCATCACTGCCCAAACTCGTCTAACACCACTAGTCAAGTTCGGCAGTTTCGGACCCCCGTCGTCCCCAACACCATAGAACTGGGGGTGAGATCTGCTCGAAAACAAAAAATATCTATTCTAGATTTATCATCAGCTATGGGTTCGAATCTAAGAGAAATTCTAGCCAATGTTTATTATCTTGAAATTTATTTGTCTTCGACTTCCCCGACGCAAGACGTCGCAGCCGCCAGAGTCCCGCCCCGCCCCGCCACGCCCGCTGAACCACTCGCATCCCAACCCATCGCAGACCGCCGGCGATCAGAGCCCAAGCCCCACCGGGAGCCCTACCTGAAACGGCAAAGCGACCCCAATCGTAGACCAAATGAAGATCGAGGGGCAAACCACGCCAATCGAGGATCCGTCGGCTACCGAGGGAGAACCACCAGTCTCCGACCGATGGTGCACCACCGCAATCGCATTCACGCCGACAACCGAGGGCGGACCCCCAATCGCAAACACCTGCAGAGAAATTGGAGACACGCGATGTCAGGGATGGGCCGAGCGGTCAAGGGCGACCACTAGCCCGAGCCTCGCCGGTGCCGAGGAAGGCAAAATGACGAGGAAAGAAGGAGAAGACCGACGGAGAGGGGCTAGGTTTGTTTTAGCGAGAGGAAGAGGGGCTAGGTTAGTATGAGTTTAAACCCCTTGACCCGAGCTAATGAATACAAAACTGACCTATCAAGGCTATTACCCGAACAAATAAACATGACACACGCTCGTCGAGCTACTTTATGGTGCTATATCAATTATACTTATATGTGCTCAAACATAATTACTATTTAAAATTGTTTTAATTATTACACGGATAGATCTGTCATTTATTTTGAATAAAATAATATTATTATGTTACTAGTCTTATTATTATTGTTTTTAAAATATGACTTTTTATACATATATATTGAAAATTATGAAAGGGTGCTGAAATTATTTGATTTTATTTTTTTTATTATTATTTGGTGGATAACAACCACAATAAAATAAATTTTCTTTCGTTGTGTTTGCCCATATTCTGGTTGATATATTTACAGCCACAAACACGAGAGAGAAGAAATATCTATCTGCCACTATAAATTAAATCCAACCAAGCTTCCTCTTTCACACATAATTCACGCACCTACTATGGCTTTGCAGGTCTACAGAGCAGCTCCAAGGACCGCAGTGCCGCATAGCTCCGCGTCCCACGGGATTATTACCTCCAGGCAGCAACCCGCGGTCTGCGTCGCAGCGGATTACCTTCAGCTGAATGTGAAGAGGCCAGCGAGGCGGCTGACCACGGGGTTTCCGGTCAGGGCGAGCCTTGACTCCACGGCGGCGACGGTGACGGCGGAGATCGGCCAAGTGACGGAGGTGAATAAGGACACATTTTGGCCGATTGTGAATGCTGCCGGTGCTAAGACCGTCGTCCTCGATATGTTCACTCAGTGGTAAATTTTTCTTTTTATAACTTTTTTATTTCTTGGACAAATTTTATTGCAATTAGCTATCGNAAAAAAAAAAAAAAAGGCCATATAACTGCAAGCTTCTCACTGAAATGAAATGAAGTAGGTGGGATTTGCTTGATTAACCTGCTTATTATGATTCCAATCCTGCAATCAAATGAGGACTTCTGGACTTATTAACCCTACAATATTCTCTTTTTATTCATTTAATTTGATTAGAGCATCTCCAAATGGACTATGCTCCAATGGTATATAGTCCATTTGGAGATGTATAACATGAAGAAAGATAACTATAAAATTTTGTCTCTAATGGTGAATGTCAATTTTAGTATAATTTGACATGTGTAACATTACAATTGGTTGGAGATGATATATATATTTAATAAATAATAAAAAATATAGAGGATGTCTAGGAGTACTTCTAGACATAGAAAGACTTCTACACATTTTGAATGCCACATAAGAATAATTATGAGCAATCCATGGACCATTGGAGATGCTCTTACTTGCTGCAACTTGCAAAAAAGATTACAACTTTCAAACTCCAACAGCACTTTAGTAAAGCACTTCTTAAAGCTAAAGATTTTTTGGAGGACCCGACTACATATAGTGCATTGTGTAAACTGCAATGCGTCAAAACCATCAACAAGAATTTACCTATCACATAGCAAGTATGTTTTGCCATTGCAAACTGGGTTTGATGGTCATTTTTATCCAAGAAAGAGAAGTGAATGCATAATTGTAGGTTAGGTTGAAAATAAATGTGGCCTATGTGAAATTGCAAAATGTGTTGAGGATGTTATATAAACCAATATCACATCTTAGTTATTTGCAATAGCCAACGCATATATGGGAATATGAAAATGTTGCATATCAATGTGGTTACGTGCTGTCTTGTTGTTTGAAATATCTCACTTAGCTAACAACATGTTGCTAAACCTTGTGATTGTGCATTTGTTTCAACGTTCAGGTGTGGACCGTGCAAGGTGATAGCCCCAAAATATAAAGAGTTGTCTGAAAAATATGATGATGTTCTATTCTTAAAGCTGGATTGCAACCAAGACAACAGGGTAATATAAGATGCGCAATCTAATAAACTTCATTGAATGTTTTGCGTCATCTGACTTTTATCTTTTGTCGGGCAGCCTCTGGCAAAGGAACTGGGGATCAAAGTTGTCCCGACATTCAAGATATTGAAGGATGGTAAAGTTGTGAAAGAAGTTACAGGAGCCAAATTTGACGATCTAGTTGCTGCTATCGAGACTGCAAGATCGTCTACCTAAGATTAATCTTTCCTTTAACAATTACCTCGTGTGTATGCACTTGTTGATAGATATTAATGCATGAATCCATTGATTGATGATTCTATAAAGCGTGCAAGCATTTCCTTCTATTATGTTTACCATAATTGAGTGTATCATAAGCACAGCTTTTAACTCATTGTCATTGGTTCATTTATATAAGTCGAAATTTTCAAGTCTTACAAAGATCTGAACTGAGCTACATTTCTATCCTAGAGTAAAATGGGGTCAAAACATTACGAAAACATGCTGCCGAAATATACTCTTATTCGCAATTCTTCAATCATCAAATGCCTGATTTATAGTTACTTGCTCCTCATGGATGACTTAGAGCATGTGCGAATATTAAATATCATCTTCCATTTGTCAACAGTCAAAACAGTTTCGTCATTCATGGTGCAGGTCGCCATATCTTGGTCTGAAAATGCGGTAAAAGATGGTCAGAGAAGACAGTTGGTAGCTATCCCCCCTATATATATTAATTGAGAACGTGCTGAGCCTATGTGGCAGGCTCGCATGCTTCGGGATCCTATGTGGCAAAAATACATGCTTCGTTATTAGGCTTGGATAGATTTAGTTTACTTCTAATCCAAATATATTTAGGTTCGGATTATTTATAATATGTTGATTATTTATGGTAAGGGTGGGCGTCGGCCGGGACAGTTCTGGATTTGACTTGTCCGGATACCCATCCCACTTTTATGAACCCGTCCATGAATGGTCCGGGATGAGGCACCGTCGGCACCCATGTAATACATGAGTGTTGTACTAGTATACTTTAAATGACAATTGTGACATACACCATAGTAAATCAATTCTTAGATTTTTCCAATGAGCACAAGAGGTGTAAGAAAGAACCATGTCTTTTTCATAAGAATCTTTAACTTTGTAAAAAAATATCACTATAAATTTTCAATCATTATAATTTACATTATCATGTCATACATTTAGTTATTTATCTTGTTGTAGCCATTCATATCCAACTACTGATCAATTGCGATTGTACATAAATCTAATATCTGATCATTCTCAAATTAACCTCAATTCTCCAAACACAAAATGTTGCTTTGTTCCCTTTTTTCTGTTTCCTTTGAAGTAACAAAAATTTAAAGGCATCTAAATACACGTTTTGATGTGTGTAGAAACGTGAGGTGCAAGTGTAAAAAGCCAAGAACTTCCTCATTTTCAGACACGCAATCCCCATAAAAACGTGAAGAGAGAGAGAGAGAGAGAACGGAATGACAGAGAGTAATTACCGAGAAAAAGATGAAACCGTGTAACAAAAGACACAATTTTTATTCTCATTTTCCTTCCTTAGTCCCTTCTCAGATTTGAGGTTGAGTCCAAAGTATTCCGACTCTCAGATCTTATTGCCAAACTCAAATCCTTTTTTTCTTCTTTAATAAATTCAACGCTTATCCCGTTAATCTCTCCTCTCTCAGCATTGCCAAGCTTTTTCATTTTTTCTTTCTTTTCTTTTTTGGTCTTCTCTTGCTCTTATCCATCCTCCCCATTCGCCACCAGCCCTCTTTCGGATTTTGACGTTCTTCTTTCACCCACTCGCGAAATCAATCAATACACATAAAAAGGTGCATTTTTTTCCTTTATTGCATTCCGGTCAACAATTATTAGCAGAGGTGGTGGCGGTGGCGATGGAATCGACGGGGAGGAGTTTGCTGTGGGGATTGCTTTTCTTGTTGTTGTCGGTTGAGCTGGCGTTTGGCAATGTGGTTTTCGAAGCCCGCCACAAATACGGCGGCCGTGGCCGGGGGAAGGGGCTGCTGAGAGAGCTGAGGGCGCACGACTCCCGGCGCCACGGCAGGATGCTAAGCGCCGTTGATTTCATGTTGGGCGGTGATGGTTCGCCCACGAGCACCGCGTACGTGTTGGTCTTATTTATCTCATTGATTTGCGCGTGATCTTTGATTTCGATTTCGTTTTTCCCTAGTAATGTTCTTGTGGACGCGTTTTGAATTGGTTTGAACGCATTTTGAATTGGTTTGTCAGTGCGCTTTGATTCCACTAGCATCTTTTTTTTTTACATGTTTGTTATTTATTTTATAGATAGGGAATGATGTCGTTTACATCATATGAGAGTTAATAGTGTACAGCACCTTGGGTGACATCTGCTTGGGCTGCATGGAATGAGCATATTTTTACGGGACCTATTGTCCTTACAGCATATTCTTCCTGAGGCTTGAGGTTTTCCATGTCTTGTTCCCATTCCACACATTGTTCATGGTGTCTAGTGCATTGCTTAAAAAATGTCGTTTTGATGTAGCTTAGACTGACATGCATTTTTTGATTGGTACTTGGTGGTTTTGCTCAAGAAACTACTTACTGATGTCTTGGTCTCGATTTGTTTTAAAAATCTTCCATTTATGTCACTTAGCTTTGTTATGAGTTAAGAGATTTAGCGTCTTTTTTTGTGTATCAATTATCTGAACTTAATGTTTGGAGTAATTTCTCGGTGTTCCAGTTTGTGTGAGTAAGATCTTGTTACATTAAAAGGTTAGATTCAGGATTCCCTTATCTCTGTTATTTGAAAGGAATCCTAAAACTGAGTAAGGGATGCTTATCTGCCTTTGACTAGTTACACGTGAAATAGTTTCACTAACACTCCTATATGAATGTTCATGCACCATTCTGATTAATTGCAGTTTGTGTATTTTAACTGATTAGTTGATACATGATTTCAGGCTCTATTACACCAAAGTTACAATTGGAAATCCTCCGGTTGACTATCATGTCCAGATCGATACAGGAAGTGATATATTATGGGTGAACTGTAAAAACTGTGACAAGTGCCCCACCAAAAGTGATCTTCATGTATGTATCATCTTATATCCTTTATTTTTGGTTTTGACCCTCGTACCAAATTAATGGGAAATATTGGTTTGTTTCTATCCACCAGATAGTCTTGAGCCAGTATGACTTGTCTGCCTCATCCACTGGAAAGACGATAACTTGTGATCAAGATTTTTGTGATGCTGTATTTAATAATCCGAACCCAAACTGCAAGGCGGGAATGAATTGCGAATATGCTGTTACTTATGGAGATGGGAGCAAAACCGAGGGTTATTTTGTCAGAGATAACTTCAGGCTTGATCAAGTATCTGGAAACCTTCAGATCACACCAATGAATGGATCCATTGCATTCGGGTGGGTTATCCCGTCTCATCTTAGTATATATTTTAGGTCACTTATTCGATCCTTTTTTAACATATTCTTGATCCCTTGGTTAAACAGTGTTGATCAACATATAACTTCTTGAGGGCTCGGAAGATTTAGTTTCTATTCTGTGGCATTTGTGTGTTGGAATTTAATTTAATCTACCTATACATTCATCATGAGATACCATTTTGTTTGTCTGGTTGCTACTTTGAAATTCTCTTTATAGCCTGTGTAATACAATTTAAATGTATCACCTGGTACATGAGGCAGCATTTTCCGTGACTTTCCTATATTTTAAATTTTTTTCCTTTTCTTCCCTTTTTTTTTTTTCTTTTACATCTAAGATAGGTGCTCAGCAAAACAATCTGGAGATTTAGGTTCATCTACTCAGGCTGTTGATGGAATAATTGGTTTTGGACAAGCAAATACATCCATTCTTTCACAGCTTGCATCATCTGGAAAGGTGAAAAAGATATTTTCACATTGCTTGGATGGTAACAAGGGAGGGGGCATCTTTGCTATTGGAGAAGTTGTGCAGCCGAAAGTAAAGACAACACCGCTAGTCCCAAATCAGTACGTGTCATGTGCCTTTACTTTTTTACCAACTTTTTAGCGATTATTTGTTTTTATGTTTTGAATTCATATGCAGTTATTGCTACTACTCGAATTTATTTCGTTGTCTAAATCTTAGTTTCTTGAAATATACAATAGAGATTATTATTATTATCAAATTGAGAGATACGACTTTCTCTCTCTGTCCTCACTCCCCGGATGAGTTGGTATCAACATCCAGATTTTTCTCCATACAAACTTTAAATTTGATTGCAGCAATTTAATCGGATTAGTAAAAACCAAACATTGGGATGCTCCCAATCTTGGTAGGAACAATAAATTAAAAGTTTTGTTATATGTTTTTATTCCTCTCCTACGATGTTCAAGAAATGATTGGAGGTTCCTGCCTTATGTTTTAATAATGTGATGTGTGATGCGGAATTTTCAATTTAATTTGGTAGTTTCTTTATTGAAGTCCAGAAGTTAATTTGAATCTTCTCAGCCAGTTAACCTGTTCTTTATGAATTTCTTCAGAATTGAATTTCAAGTAGATATGGTGTCTGTTATTAATGTGATTACTTCCTACCTATATTGTCTTGAAGTTAAGTAGCTATACCAAATGTTTGACACTTGGCATTCATTTGACCAATCAGTCTTGTTATGTACGGCTTTCACATAATGTTTTCTCTGTGTGTGTGTGTGTGTGTGTGTCCCTATGTATACAGTTTGTTTATTTCACACTACACACATCTGATTGAACTTGTATTATCTTCTTAGGCAACACTATAATGTTGAATTAAGGGGAGTTGAAGTTGGTGGTAAATCTCTCGACCTCCGAACAGGTCTTTTTGGCTTTGGGCCAAGTAGAAAGGCTATAATTGATAGTGGCACGACTTTGGCCTACCTTTCATCTGATATTTATCAGCAGGTTATCGATGAGGTACGTCAAAAAAACTTCACTGTTCCATGTTTTTCTCATGGCATACTTGAAGGAAATAAAAAAAAATAAAAAAAAATAAAAAAAAAATCCATAACTTTCTTCATTGTTCTATGTTGATGCACATTCAATTATGTCTTACACTCTTATGACTGTGTATTTGTCGATGCCTTCAGATGATGTCACATCAACCAACCCTGAAAATTCATATGGTTGAGAATCAGTTCAGCTGCTTTTGGTACAGTGGGAAGTAAGTATTAGATGCTATAATGATCTGCATTGTTTTATGTTGCATTTATATGGCTTAATACGGTCTTTTGAGATACTAGTTGTGGTTGATGTTTATTTTCGTCAACTGATAGAATATTTTCTGGCTTACCTTTATATAAGTACTTTTTATTTTTTCACGAGGAATTTACTAGTATGTTCTTGCTTTTGTATTTGTAGTTCGAAGTTAATGTACCTGCAAATGAGATTTATTTTTCTTATAAAAAAACTGAAGTAACTGTGGATCAATTTTTTTTTTTCTTGACAGCATTGATGACGGATTTCCAGTAATAAGTTTTCGGTTTGAGGACTCACTTTCCTTGCCCGTTTATCCCCATGATTATCTGTTTGAAGTTCGTGTAAGCAGGCTATATTATTTTGGTTGTATAAGTCATTGCTCATAAATTTGGCCCTTCAAGTTACACTATGGTGTGGAATCATACTGCAATTTGTGTTATAGAAATTGTGGGCTTGCTCGGCATTAAAAGTGAGAAATTTTGTAATGTTTTTTATGTTGTAGAAACCCGTTAACTTTGTCACCATGGATTTATCCAGTTAATATTCCTTTTTTTTTTTTTCTAAGAAGCAAATTAATTAATTTCTAGGATGGAGAATACTGCATTGGTTGGCAGGACAGTGAAATGCAGGGAAAGGACGGACAAGAATTGACTTTGCTGGGAGGTAATAACTACTTTAAATATATTTTGTGGACTTATGAAGATATATTATAATACTCATTATTGTTTTTCATTCTTTTTCCAAATGTGTGTTGAACTTTTCTGTTGGGAAATTCGTAATATTTTTGCACTTACACTAGCAATCTCTTTACTCGGCAATCAGCTGAAGTAGTAAACATATGAAGATACACCAAAACTTTCAAACATCCCTTTCCTAATTTCACACTTGGATCTTAATTTCAAGATTTTAGTTGAAATAGTAAAGATATGAAGATACACGAAAAACCGACCACTTGAAGGATGTTAAATCTTCATCTTTTTAATTGCAGATATTGCATTATCGGACAAGCTTGTTCTATATGACATGGAAAATCAGACAATTGGATGGGTACAGTATAACTGTGAGTGGGGTCCGGTTTGCTATTTGGTTTCATATTTGTGCATTCATTTCCAGTCATCTGTTAGATTTCCCCATGATTTTCTTCTCTTCTTTTTCTTCCGTATTAAGAAAGTAAAACTTGTGAAATTGCATCAACGACGACTAATAAATGTGAGATTTTACATTCACAGCTGACTGTAAATCTTTTTCGATTTCGATTTTCAGGTTCATCCAGCATCAAAGTAAAAGACGAAGCCACTGGAAATTCTTATTCTGTGGTGGCCCATAACCTATCAGCCGCTTCAACTCTACTGATCACAAATCTTATGTCGTTACTCGTTTTTATAGCCACTGCCCTCCATCTGATCGGCTGAGGCTCGTCGAGAAAAGTGCTGAGGGGTTTTAGTGGTTTTGTGAAATCTCATGTTCTTTTTCATTCTTTG